GATGTAAGTAATGTTCAAGTATACACATTTAGAGTTTGAAGTAATTTCATATCACTTTTTCCTACCCCCCACCCAAATCAAGATAACCTACTTTCAAACAACTACTTGAAAGAGAGAGGTCAAACTGTGGTAAGAAAGAAGAAAGACACATGATATTCCAAACTGTGGTATCTATCTATATTTCAAGTATAAATAAAAAACATGAACATATAGAGGCTCCTGGCTGGCTCAGTCAGAAGAGCGTGTTACTCATGATCTCAGGGTTGTGAGTTCAAGCCCTATGTTGGGTGTAGAAATAATGTAAATAAATTTTTTAAAAAGTGAACATACAAGTAAAACTAATGTGAAATCCATTTGCTATGACTAGTATTATACATTCTAAGTTAATTAACCCTGACACCAATCAATTCCTTGGAACTCACTTAAAATTAGACTTAAAATTAGATTTCTATCAACTTTAGAAGTAAGCTACATTTTTTTTTCCTCCTGTTATCTCCAAGGAAATAAAATTGTTCAAGTGTATTCGTGATTAGGTGGTATCTTTCATTTCTTTATTTTCTCAATTTTTAGGAGATTACAAACTGATAGATTATTTAACATGCTTTCAAAGCAAGAGAGAATGGCTCAGCTTCTTCACAGTGTTAAGTAACAAAAGTTCAACAGAGTAAATTTTAAAGATAAAATCAGCTTTATTAATTCATTTCAAGTATAAATAAAAAACACAAACACACAGATACATGCTCACAGATGTGAGCTCCGAAGGGCTACAGAAAGGGAAAGGTTTTTAAAAATAGGACAATGAAGTCAATTTTCAAATGTTGACAATTGTTTTTCTGGGAACATTGTGTGTGGTCTGTGAGCTGCATTTGGCTTCCAGGCCAATCGTATGCAAGCTGATAACTGCGCACAAGAACTTCACACAGGGAGCTAACCCATTGACCACAATAACTTATAATAAGAAATAGAATTGTTCAAATGGATTCTCATGCTCGCTGATCTGAGCGCTGTATCTGAGAGACTAAGCAAATAGGAAAAGGTTGCTTGGTGACTTAAGAATCAAAGTAAACAGAGTTGTAGGAACCTTGATGATAATATCAAGTGATAATAACCTGATATTCAGCAAATTGAGTGTCTTGAGTGTATTGAGCGCCTTGCATGTGCCAAGCACTGTTTTAGGCACCAGAAATACAGCTGAGTACAAATATGAAGGACCTGTCTAGATGGAGGAGGTAGTAAATAAAGAAGTAAATGAGAAAACTAGCACTTGATAGCTACCACCCAGAAAAGGAAAAGAGGGTAATGTGATAGCGGGTGCCTGATAGGCTGCCCCATACTAGCTGGTGAACCTAAATACTTACCCTGGAGGTTATCAGAGTTTAAAATTCCTCTTCTTCACTCCTTGCATTCTAGGTTCCTCCAAGAAGTCGTTTGTGATATGTCTTAATGAATTGAAGCCCAGTTTAATTTAAATTAGTTACTTTTTGATCTTGACTACATTTGGGGCAGGGAACATGTTGATCTGAGAGGGATTTAGTCAAACCTCTAATCTAATCAGGAACTTAATTACCAGGTAAGTCAGGGCTGGGTCAGCACTGCAGATGGCTAATTGCAAACATTTTATGTTGGTTCCTTTTAGCTTGGATCTTAGAGGGTACCATTTTCTAGTGTGCCTCTTAATTCTGGGACTGTACCATTTGAGGATTTTTTTTTTAAAGATTTTATTTATTTATGTATTTGAGAAAGAGGGCACCCACAAGCCTGGGGGAGGGGCAGAGGGAGAGGGAGAAGCAGACTTCCCACTGAGCAGGGATACCATGTAGGGCTCCATTCCAGGACCCTGAGATCATGACCTGAGCCAAGCAGAAGGCAGATGCTTAACCGACTAAACTTAACTGCCCCCCATTTGAGGATTTTTATCACCTTTTTGGGACAAGGACTAATAGCAGCTTGGCAATGAAACTTCACCCCAGGGTTAGGGTTTCTCCCACCTAAAAATGCATATTAACAAATACCTCTTAAAACCCTTCCTGGGGTGCTTGGCTGGCTCAGTTCGTGGAGCGTGCGACTATTGATCTCGGGGTTGTGAGTTTGAGCCCCACATTGGGTGTAAAGATTACTTAAAAATAAAATTTTTCAAAAAAATTTTAAAAAAACCCCCAAACCCCAAACTCTTCCTATGGTATTATAATCTGTCCCTGCATGTTAAAATAGAGACACCCTGGAATGCCCAGTCAGAAGGTCTGGGTCCAAAGCCCGTTTTTTGGCTCTGCTGTGGGCCAACTCTTTGATCTGGTAGACATTTAACCTTTGTAGCCTCGTCTGGGAGACCCACCTCTTGGGGGTTTCACGAGGACTGAATGAGAGTGTGTATTTGAACACTAACCCTGCAGAGTTCAATATTATTTATTATTATGATTGGAATGACCATCAAGGTCACTGGCAATGCTTATTTTGTGATGAGTTCTAAGAAAACAGATTGGTCCTTGTGCCTTGGGGTACAGAGGTAGAACCCAACACAAACTAGAACTCTACTGGAAAAATCAGCCGCTGAAGAGGAAATAAATATCTGTAAAGTTATATTTAAATTCAGAAATAAAATGTAAATTTTATAGAATAGTAATTGTGGTGGTAATAAGGCACAGCTAACATTTATTAAGTACTTTCTCTGTTCTGGGCAAGGTAAACACTTTGTATTTATTATCTCTTCTAAGGGAGAGAGGGGAGAAAAGAAAAAAAATCGTAATAAATAATATGAACTTGGAAAATAAATCGTTACTATACAATGTGCCCTATCACCCCCCAAAAGCTCTTTAAATACGTGCGGGTTTGGAGACCCATTTCTCAGAGGTTTGGTATCTTCTGCAGCCCCATGGGCCCCTTTGGCCCACAATTATCTAATCTCCCCTTCTCAGCTACTCAGAAAAGTTCATGACCTCCTCCCATCCCCAAGGCCCAGCTCACTAACAGACTTCAGAAATAATTTTCGCGGATGTGCCAGTGTTTTAGTAGTAAGCACTCGATGCCCACAACAAAAAAGAACTGCAGGTTAAAAATGTAAGCGAATAATTGAAATGCAAACGAATACATTCAGTATGCGTAGCTGGGAGTGTATTCCTTTGTAAAGCCAAAGCATGTCTTTCACATCCCCCCACCCCCCAAATCATACTGGAAATGGATCGCTCTAAGACTTCCATTAATAAACTTCTCAGAATGTGAAATGTCTCCAACATGTGGGGACGCCGGGGTGAAAGGTGCCACGCTATTCTCATTTCTGCCAGGCCCGGGTGCAGGAGGAAATATGCTAATGCAGCCGTTTGCCGCAGGGCTGGTGTTATTTATATAGTGCTGGCTGGGCAAGGTTCGAGCTGGAGCACGGGAGAGGTGGGAGAGGTGGGAGAGGTTTGTCTTCATGTGTGTGGATGTAGATGTGTGCGCCTGTGCACTTGGCGTTCGAAACGTGAATTCCAAGATCTTGGGGAGGGGGTGGGGAATACCATCACCATTCACGTTTATGTGTATACAGTATAACTCGTGCGGGCGATGTATCCTTCTAGCATTGTACTTACACAGCATGCATTTTGGAGTGGGGAAGACATGGCGATTTGGGAGTTAGGTGCCGCGATCGGTCGCCGGTGACCCGACACTGCGGGTGACCAGCGACCTGCAATTGGCCAATGCGCATTCCTGACACTGCTCCGCGGACACAAAAATCAACCATTATCTGAACCCCGAAAAAAGTGCGAGGAGGTTGCTCCCGAATGCTAGCGACTTTGGGCTCAGGACCGGGAGTGGGGTGTGGACAGCGGGTAGTGGGCGCCTCTGAAGCGAGCAGAGGTCACCGAGACCCGGCACACGGGGGTGGGTGGAAACCCCTCGCGGCTTCGGGAGCCGAGCCTCGAAGACAACCCCTCTCACGCCCTTGGCGCTCAAGCCGACTCCTCCAGGACCCCCAGCCCACCCGCGCCCGCCGCTCCGCGCGCCTGCTCCTCCTCCGCCTCGCCCGGCGCGGAAGGGGAACAACAGGGGATCCTCCAGCCAGGCAGGCGCGGGGTGTCCCGTTTCCCCGCCCCCTCCCGTGGATCCCGCGGCGGCGGCGGCGGCGGCGGCGGCGGCGGTTACCTCCACCTCGGCGGGGGGAGAGGGGGCGGGCCGGGGGACAGGGGAGG